TTATATCGCGGAATGCGAATGAGAAAGTATTAATTGAATCTTCGATTAACTCTATAAGAGTAAGCATTATGATCAAGCAAGCTGATGAAATAGAGAAAATACTATGTAAAAAGTTTATGCGCTTTATGATGATGCGAGCGGAAAACTTTATCGTACTTCGCCGGAAACCGGTGGATGGATATCATATCAGTTTCCTTATTACAAATTTCCATACCGAACAAATGTATAAACATAAACTGGTTGACTTTGTGATATATTTCATGGAGGAGATTGATAAAGAAATAAGTGAAATGAAACTTGCTGTTAATGCACGTGCTAGAATTTGCTCTGAAGAATTTTTGAAGAGATTCTAAGTACTTTAGACTGAACTTTTTCCTATGTTAATTTTGTGGATAAAACAAAATAAATGCACCTGGATAATAACAAACTCCGAAAGATTTTAATAAATCTTGCAATATAATTAACTTTTTTGTATCTCTATTTATTGTTTTTGTAATTATTGTAAACAGACATTTAATCAATTTACAATATAACATAAAAATTCAATAGCTTATGTTTAAGTGGAGTAGTCCAGGAGTTTCCTCAGTCACCGTAAATCTTTTATTTGCAACAAATCAAATTATCTCTGCAACCAGTGCTTCCCTTTTTAGTGTTACAACTACAATAGAATTGGATAACTTAAAAACAATGAACTAATATGCAGAAAGCAAACAATCAAGGAATACAAGTGCTGTGTGAATAGTAATTGTGTAGATGAATGTGTGTGCATGTGTTGTGTGTAAGTGCATGTGTCATACAAACTGTAGATGGTCTATCACCTCCGTGAATTAGTCCCTAGTGTATGTATGTTTGTTCTCTATCTGATAAGACAAGGATAGATTATAACAATCAAATTTTTATACATTATGTTGTAAATTGAATTGTCTGTATACATTTTTTGTTACTTTACCATCTTGCAACATTTATTGTAAACTTAAGTAAGGCGTTTGCAATTATCTTGTGACATAAACATAATAAAATAATAAATATATACATCCACAGCTGTTATGAATAGTAGCTTTCTTTTACTATTTAATAAGTGTGTACAGATTAATATGATTTACAATACTATTTTATTAAATTCTCAAAAATATGCATATGAAAATTGCCAATAATCAGTATAATTATTGTAAAATTTATGTAATTACTTAATTTCTTAAATTATCAAAATTTTTGATGGTTGTTTTAAATTCTAATGTGATTATATAACATGGTATACTCCAAATAATATATGCAATTTTTTATATTTTTGTGGAAACAGCTCAAATTAGATATATCTTATTTGAATAAAAAAAAATATTTTGATGTTTTGTCATCAGTTTGCAAGAAATTATAAAATATGTAATTGGCAGTATATATTACCATAATCAAAGTTAAGCATAAATTTGTTTTTGTTTGTGGTATACAAATGAATGCAAATGATATGCACAACAATTGTTTTGTCAAATGAGTCTGTTTATTTATAAACACATATTTCCAGGACAGAATCAGCATATTACAATATGTGGAGGACTATGAGAATTATCTTTTCATGTAAGCATTTAAAATTGTATTATAATATAGATGTAATAAATTTAAACTTTTCTATACTTTGTTTTCATTGTTTATCCTATAACATTGTATGATCAATAATTATATATTTGTTTGTAAGTACATTGGCAAAAATGGCTAACAATTTTGGGTGAGATTTACCATGTTGGCGTTTAAGGGGATGAAAAAGTGATCTAGAGATTTATTTGTGAGAAAATAAGTTTTCTCTGAGTTTTCACAAAGCAATAAACTTGACTTGCCTATGCAATATAATTATTATTATTATTAGTCAATATCCTGATGGCTATACTATCATGCATAGACTTAGTATCTACGCTATCATGTTATTTTTTCTTCTTTAGTGTTTAAGCACATATGGCCCCACTTTAGACTAATAAAATGTTTTGTTTGCAGTTTTGTACATTTTATTGGTGTTATGAATAGTTTTTCAAGGTTAAAGTTTTGGTGAAAAAATATTTAATTCCAATATTTACAATAATTTTCTGTAATTTTTGCAAAATTTATTGTTTATTAATATACAATTAAACCTGTTTAATATTTTTTTATACTTAAAATGTTTATCTAAAATGATTATAATAAAAAGGAAGTTATTCGATATTCATAAGCATAAGTATCCTAACAAGAATGTTAAGTATTTAGATTTCATGAAAAAAGGTTTTGACTTGGCCCAGGCTATAGATTTTCAAAATCCACGTGTTTTCCCCGCATAATACCAATCCCCATAAAATCCCCAACTAACTTTAAATTCCCCGCAATTTGGGAAATACCCACATGTGGGCAACGTTGAAATGTGTGTCATCAAAGGTATCGTTAGTACTATCGTCTGTCTTCGTTTTCGGGAGCGTTTCATAACACTCGGTATACACAGGTTATATTCACACAGTATATTTGCTTTGTCAAGAGGTTTTTTTTATTTACAGCTATGTTAGAATCCGAATAGATGGCGAAGATTTAGAGCCATAAAAGACAATCACAAAATCTATACTCAATAAATGGCGCTGTGGTCGACTTTTAATAATAAATTCAAACTCATTGCGCCATCTACTTAACAAGGTAGAGCAAATTCTACTGGGCCAGTAAATGTTTATAAAATATTACTGAAGTTTGTTTTATTATTTTTATGGAAAGACCCACACTATAGCCCAGTTTGTGTTTGTGCTGGATAGGCGGATTTCACATATATAGTTCTTTAAAAAGCTTTTTAATTATTAACTTTATCTCAGAACTCTTAAGATATGTTTATGTACCGATTATGATATAAGTAATAGACTTATATTGAGAATAACCACATTAGAAACATAGTAACGATACGGCCCTAGGGATCAGTAATTTCAAGAGGCAATGGGCCGGACATTTAACTTGGAAGAACCAACTAAGGGAAAAAAGGTTTTTGAGTGGCAGCCTTGTACCGATAAGCGAAAAGGAAAGGTACCCACTAGATATAGTGACAACCAAGTAAAAAATAATAATTATAATAGGTTCACAATTCTGAAGACAACGGGTAACATACATACAAAAAAAGAACATACCTAAAGTCGAATTGACAACTAAAATAAAGGCCACAATGAGATTCATCATCATCATTACAGCCGTTCACAAGTCCACTGCTGAAAATAGGCCTCCCCCAAGGAATGCTACAAAGCACGGTCCTGAGCTATCTATATATATAAAATAAAATAATAAAATAAACGATAAACAGCAGCAAGCTTGCTATTTTACGCTGGTATTCTGTGAAAGCGTGGTCAGGTCATACCCCGGATGAGTCGACCCATTCGTTCTGCAACATATATATATATAAAAATTACGTGTCACGTTGTTTGTCCGCGATGGACTCCTAAACTACTGAACTGATTTCAATGAAATTTTGCACACTGTGTGCATTTTGGTCCAACTTGAGAGATAGGATAGTTTTTATCCCGATAAATGACCCTCAAACTAATAAACTAATTTTTTATTGCGAATTTAAGGATTTTTATAGGAAGGGTCGTTGGAAAGGGCAAAACAACGTCTGCCTGGCGAGCTAATATATATATATATATATATATATATATATATATATATATATATATATATATATATATATATATAGGTATATAAAATAAGATTAAGAGAAAGAAATTTGAAGTCATTAATTGTGTTTTTTAAATCTTATTCCTTACACGAGTGGGTTTATAATTCTGTGGGTTTCTCTTTGTTGCACGCACATGTCACGCGACTCGAATTGAATCAAAGCGATTATTGTACTTTTTACAAAGCGTTCATTCACACCCACTTGAATACCGGCTACTGAACGTTCGTTTTTTTTGTTGTGCACTGTGATCACATATGCATTTGTAGGACTAGAAATCTATGAATGCATTTAATAATAATAAAAAAAGATTTAAGAAGGCCGGCATGCAGAACGCATTAGACATTTTGCGGAAATATTTTAATAATTCGTTATGAGTAATGGTAACAAATTAATTTTATACATATGGAAGAAAATAAAGAGACAAACAGAAATTAGGGTAGATGTCGAAACTCCCACTCGTTCGATTTGTCCACCTGACATAGTCGGTGTCGTGATTCTGTCTGTGTTCGTAGAGGCTACCCTGCTGTTAACCTCACCTAACTGCTTACTGTGTTTTATAAATGATTTAGAACATAAAATCTTATTTGGTGTATTCCTTTTTTTTTAAAGTGATTTCGAGAGTAAATTCTAACAAATCATTAGATCTGCTGCTACGGGACATTCCCGCAGAATGCGGGATGGTTGACCGCCTAAACAGTACCTACTCGTATGCATATTGTATTAGTAAATCAGCAGTATCCTATAATATGAAAAAAAAACTAAGAAGATTTGTTTTAATCGTAACCTTTAGCAGAGGGCTTGACAATCGCAGTGCCAGATGTATCGTACCTTTGATCTGATGCTGCTGTCCGTCGCCGGTCAGGTTATTTTACGCCTGGCATACCAAAAAGTATTATTATGCCGAAATCTATCGGAAGACTAAGACGCCTTTTCCATAGTTGTATCCTACAACACCCACGTGACGAAACAGACTGATGGATTCTCTTACGTCGCTACCAGGTAAGGAGGAACTTTTACAATAAAAGATACCTATCCAAAAACATATTTTAGTATTTTCTTTGGGTTTAAAACAATCTTTATAGTGTCCATTTCTCTATATTCGTGGCTACAGTCTTTTTGTAATCATTTTCAGTTATTGGTTTGTTCTACAATATCTTTTTTGGCGATTTTTATAACGCGTCGAATTCAAATTTAAATATGCAAGCATTGAGTTATATGTACTACGTAGTACCTATGTACTAGAGAAGCTATCCCAAACTTGCACTACTCTATGTCTTCGCTTCGCGCATGCATGTAAATTTGGCATACGGTTATCGGTTATAAGAATTAAAATATCATCAATGTATCAATCATTTAATCATTTACAATTGTGTGTTTGTGATTGTCAAACAATATTAACATTAATAAAATAATTAAATGATCACTACCATAGTATGTAATTATTATATCAATATGTTCAATTTAAGAAACAACTAAGATTATAAAATTTTAGCAAAGACGTGTGTGGATACTCTTTTTTACTTAAAAACATGTATATTTTACATATTAAATCTCATTTAATTCTTTGACTTAGCAGTACGCAGTGTGAACCCTTCTCCTTTAAATGCTTGAAATGGTTCTGCAGGAGCTTCTTCTTTAGCGCTAGGTGGCCTTGAGTTTCTAATAAATCTTAATGTTCCGATGACAAAATCATAGTCTGGTATCCCGCGGACGTATGACTGAAACAAAATTATAAGTTTAGCTCTTCTCAAAATTAGAAAATCTCAAGTTAGAAATATCTTCATGGTGACATTTCCTTTCTACTCCGTCGACTATACATCCACAACGAATTAGAAAAGCGACAGTAACCTAGTAGTTTTAAGGATATGGAGTGCGAAACTAAAAAGTCGTGGGTTCTATTTCGCCGTTCGACTAATGTCGTGAACCACTCCCAACACAAGCATTTTAAGCTTACTTGGAGGGGTTAACTGGGGGTATATAGCGTTACCAATCTTTTTTTTTTAAATAAAATGATTCCCTACCATCAGTATGTATGTTTAAGAATCAAAGTGAGCATTTTTGAATAAATCCTGAATCGGCAAACAAGATAATAATATTAAAATTCTTCGTCTCTATAAATTATCTAAAAGAAACTGTTCAGTAAAAGTACTTTCCCGTGTAGGGGCGATGTAAGAATATCCACTACTCCGTATCATCCCGTGGGTGTTATAAGAGGCGACAGATGGAAATTGAAACAGGTGGTGAGCAGCAGAATCTTCCTGATTACAACTTAAAATAATAAAAAACTGCGGTTGGCCAACCTGCTCGCAAGCGTGTCAACTATGGCAAAATCCCTCCTATGAGACGATCCATGGGAGAGGTCTATGTTCAGCAATGATGGAAAAGTACACAGTTGCCTATTTAATATTGAAAGAAACTAAACCAGATAGGATGATTAAAATCTAGATCATAATAGTGGTGAACTAATTAAATCTGATTTTTAGAGTAAATATGCCAAGATGGTTAACAATATATTTTTACAAACAAATTTGTATTGTCATGAACTAATTACGAACATCACTTTCGCACATGCGTGTTGTATCATTTCTTGCAATTTCGTCGTTTTGGCAGTTTATATGGCGTCCTTAGATTATATACAATGTCCAGATTCCTAGCAGGCCACCGTGGGTTGAAGCAGTCAATATTGACTACACTTCGTTCGATCCTTGCGTCACACGCCAAGGAACGTTCCCCGCTTAAACACGTCACGAGTCGGTGGTTTGATTTTGAAAAAATGACAGTTTGTACTGTGAAATCGTGTAAAAATTAGACTTCAAAAAGAGAAAAGTGCCGTAACATGTTAATTATTAAGTAATTTCATTCATATCACTTTGTATTTCTTTGTTACCGACTTTTAAATACGAAAGCGAAAAAATTATAATTGGACATTAATGTGACGCTACAACTGTTGAGTGTTGCCAAGGGCATGAAATCTATTTACCCACATTTTTAGCTTTTTTAAAATCTCTCGAAAAAGAAACTACGTATGACTTAAGAGTTTTATTAACATGAACGATGATTGTTTTTGTGACTGTTAGTTTGTTTCTTCAACCTCACAGCTCTCAAGGCACTGAACCGATTTCAATGCGGTTTTTATAGTTTGCATTTGTTTGAGACGTGGCTCGTATTTTAGTAGTATTAACGGTTACTTTGTCGGAAACCTAAACCAGAAACGTCCAATGTTCAGCCCACTTCCAATTTTGCTTAGAAACTAATCCTTGAAAAATCAGCGTTGATATGAAAATGACGTACCGACATGGGATTTTGAGCCGTTACAGCTATTGATTGGGCTGCTCCTGCTTACTACCCATTTAAGTAAACTGAAAAATATTGTGTAGGTTTATGAAATGTTTGTAAAATGTACAAACATTTCATGAACTTACACAAGCACACCACAAAGCGGTTGGACATGAAAAATTACACTTACGAAAGCAAATACCATTAAAAAGTTAGCAACAGTAATTATGAAAATTATCCTTTACACTAAACTTAAAATATTTACAAATATAAAAACTCCCATATTTTTGGAGTAATTCTGTGCCGCTGGTATTACACGCGTATTGCACACAAAGGAAAATGCGATATTGTAATATACTCGAAAGCGTGGCGTTCACTCACACACGTATAAAAATTGGCTTCACGATAAAAGTTGCGTTTTGCATTTGAACACGGAATCTGGACATTTTATATAATCTAAGATGGCGTCCTTCAAGCTGGAATTCTCTCCAACGATATCCTAAATTTTATTATGTCAGTATCTAGTGAGGAATTGGTAACAATTAGTGACTTAATACTTTAGGAGATATAGCCCTTTTTGGAAGGATTCTAGGTCTAGCCTGTCAGCAATTCGTTATGATTTGATTTTTTTTGCCGCAACTACAGCAACTGAGAGTGGTTCTAGCAAGATGGGGTCACCTGTTAGGACAGGTTGCCCCATCTTGCTACGTCAAACCAGTCAATGGAGACAGTACTTGGATACTTCCCTGAAAAGTTCATTTCGATAAGAGGTGATATCAGACGGCCCCCGAGGAGTCCAGACCTCACATCTCCGGATTTTTTTCTCAGGGGTTATCTGAAGAATCGGGTGTACAACAGTAATCCATCAATCATATATGAATTGAAGGAAACGTTAGACAAGAAATCAACAAAAATTCTACACAACTTCTGAGGCGCGTTTTCATGAATGAACATGAACGTCGGTATTATTATTCGTCGGCGTTATTAGACGGTAGGCCTTAGCGTCGGTGAGCGGCTTGTCATTGCCCTTGGGTATGACAATCAGTCTACCGTCATTTCATACATTGGGGAAAACCCTCCCTTTCAAACACTTGGCATACACCGAGTGAAATTCCCTCGGTGTCGCAATCCACACATTCCTCACGATTCTCGCACTCACTCCATCGAGTCTCAGAGCCGTGTTGCGCAAGGCCTTGAATATACCACATCATTCATCATTATCATTACAGCCCTTCACGAGTCCACTGCTGAACATAGGCCTCCCCCAAAGAATGCCACAAAGCACGGTCCTGAGCCACCTGCATCCATCGACTTCCTGCATATCTTACCAAATCGTCACTCCATCTAGTGGGGGGACGCCCTACACTTCGTCGGCCGGTACGAGGCCGCCACTCGAGAACCTTTTTTCCCCAACGGTTGTCGGTTCTTCGAGCTATATGGCCGGTCCATTGCCACTTCAGCTTACTAATCCGTTGGGCTATTTCGGTCACTCTGGTTCTAGTGCGGATATCCTCATTTCTAAGTTTATCACGCAGAGAAACTCCGAGCATAGCCCTCTCCATAGCTCGCTGAGCGACCTTGAGATTTCTCATCCGGCCAACAGTGAAGGACCACGTCTCAGTTCCGTATTCACTGGCAACACGCACTGGGTGTACAGTCTCGTTTTCAAGTTTTGAGGTATACCTGACGAGAAGATGTGCCGTAATTTCCCGAACGCTGCCCAACCGAGTTGAATCCGCCGATTGACCTCTCGGTCGAAGTTGGACTTACCTAGTCGGACTATTTGTCCCAGGTAAACATACTCGTCAACAACTTCGAGCTTAGTGTCCCCAACATCTACCGATATATGTGTGACATGAAAATTAAACATGATCTTTGTTTTGTTCATGTTCATCTTAAGACCTATCCGTTGGGAAACACTATTGAGGTCATTGAGCATAATGCTTAGGAGAATATACCACACAAGTCTCCAACCGCAAGTGGAGGCGCAGCACCACCCGACCGCATGAAAACCGCTAGCAGACGAACCTGCCGGTGGTAAGGCGAGTCGCATTCAGTGCTGACATCCGGTTCGGGTGCCCACCCGCAAAGGCGATCCCATTGAATACATTTGCACCCTCACGCTGGCCAACCTGTATGCAAGGCCCCATGGGTCCCTATTGCCAGAATTCGCAACCTTCCTGTGCTGTATTCATACCCCCCCCCCCCCCCCGACTCCCTAGTGCAACGCTCCCCTAGGCCTTACTCTGCAGAGCAGATTACGATCCCTGAGATCTCCTCCGCCAGGAGAGCCGCGAGTTTTCCACGTGCAGCCATTCCATTCGTAACTTGACAATCGCCAGGAACCTGTCCCAGTCCACCCCTCGGTCATGAAAACAGCGGGGGATCCCTAACGGGTGCTGCCCGCGTGGTCGGCCTGCTGGTAGTGGCCATGTATGTAATCAAATTATGGTCGCTGGTGCAGATTACCTCGTGCACTCGCCACTCTGCAAATTGGACATCTCCAATGGACAGAGTAAGGTAAAAATTCGATTCTCCTCCAGGTCCACAGTATATATAGGTCTGGTCAGGCTGGTTTGCCAGCGTAAGCGCCTGTGAAAATATGAAGTCTTCCATCAGCTGCCTTCGGTACACTACATTCTGACCTCTTCCCACATAGTGCCGGCGATCGCAATGCCAAACTGGTGAGTGCGCATTAGCGTCGAGGCCGATGATAATGCTCCACCTAGAGCTCCCATCGGTTTACGTGACACACCACACAAAACTCATTGCTGAGGTAACTCAGCGCATCTGTTCCAATTGCTGGGTCGGCAAGATAGACGCCAGCCCACGGATGATCGCCGCAGCCCTGGAGTACTGTTCTTGTACAAGGAAAATGTCCAGGTGCAGTTCACACGCCAGGTTAGTAACTCAGCCGTGGCAAGCTCCCCCCGACCCAAGTTTATCTGCCCTATTTTAATTGTCTGATCTAGTTTTACAGAAGCGGCGCCCTTATCGGCAATATTATGTGGTGGCCACGGAGCGTTGCTCTGCGTATACCTTGCTAGGCAATTCCTCGCCATGGTCACGTGCGAACCAGAGTCGGGACGGCTAAAACGCTTACATGTGCGCACTTCTCTTCTGTTGCTTTACAAGCCCCACGCTCGTGTCCCGTCTCCCTACATTTCCCACATACGGTCTCCTTAGATCGGCAGTATTTAGCCGGATGCCCATATTGTTGGCACCTCTGGCAGCACATGACATCCACGTTGTCACATGGTTCCACCACGTCCCAGACAACGTAAAGACGATTATGCCCTACCAGCACGTCCCTTAAAGCGGACGTGCACTGGAGAATGACTGTAGCCCCGCCTGCTTCCGCGCCAAAATTTCTTAAATGCTACTTTGCAGTCCTCTTTAACTTTTCCCTCGCTCCAGCCACAAGCAGCAAGATTCTGCTCGTATAAGCCACTTATCACGTCTTAATTTATTTGGGTCTTCTTCAAAACCCATGAGGGCAACCAGGAGAAGGCGCTGCCTGGGCTTCACAATTTATCGCTGGTTTGCTGAATTTCAACGTGGACGTGTCAAGCTCAGTGATGATCTCCGTCAAGGTCGTCCAAAAACTGCAGTCACCCAAGAAAACGTTGATGCTGTGCGTAAGCTGATTGAGGGAGATCGACATGTGACATACCGCGAAATTCAGGCAACTTTAGAGATTGGCATGAGTCAAATACAAATAATCTTGCACGAACAATTAGGTGTAAAAAAGTTGTTTTCCCGATGGATACCGCATTCGCTCTGTGGAGAGCAAAAAGCGGCTCGCGTTACTTGATGCGTCAGAACTCTCGAAAGATTCCACGCAGGATCCTCAAATGCTGTATACAACATCGTATTAGGTGACGAATCCTGGATATACGCGTACGAATCCGAAACAAAAAACCAGTCACTAGTTTGGGTGTTCGAAAATGAGTTAAAGCCAACAAAAATTATTCGTTCACGGAGTGTTGCAAAGAAATGGTGGCCACGTTTGTTTCCAAAACCGGCCATGTTACGACTATTCCTCTTGAGGGACAAAGAACGGTTAATGCAGAATGGTATGCTAGCATTTGTTTGCCACAGGTCGTTTCTGAACTCCGTAAAGAGAACTGCAACCGCCGCATCATCCTCCATCACGACAATGCGAGTACTCACACCGCACACAGAACAAAAGAGTTTTTAGAGCAAGAAAACATAGAATTATTAGACCATCCGCCGTACAGCCCCGACCTAAGCCCTAATGATTTCTATACTTTCCCTAAAATAAAGAATAAATTGCGTGGACAGAGATTTTCATCACCTGAAGAAGCTGTGGACGCCTACAAAACGGCCATTTTGGAGACCCCAACTTCCGAATGGAATGGTTGCTTCAATGATTTTTTCCATCGTATGGAAAAATGTGTCAAATTTCGCGGAGAATACTTCGAAAAGCAATAAATACATTTTTAAATAGTAATGTTGTGTCACTTCCTTGATTCCCGAAATTTTCAGTGCCGCCCTCGTAGTAATGAAAGTTACCGGTTTGCAACATATCATTGATATGCAAAAGAAACATCGTTGGTGATGGCACACAGCCTTGTGGAACACTAGCGTTAATAGGCTTTTAATCAGAGCATGCACCGTCTACTACGACCTTGATGCTCCGATTAGCAAGGAAACTGATATAATTGCATAATTACTCGGGAAGCCCATATAGGAAGGAAGCTTCGAAAGAAGCACTTTGTGATAAACCCAATCGAAGGCCTTCGCTATGTCCAAACTAACGGCCAAGGCCTTCCCCTTGAACTCTATTTCCTCCACCTATCTATGAGTCAGGGAGACCAGAATATCACTAGCGGATCGACCCCGACGAAAACCGTACTGGCGGTAACTAATGAGCTGGTGATCCTCAAGGTACCTCATGAGCTGGCAGTTTATAATGGATTCCATTATTTTGGAGAATAAGGAGGTGATCGCGATAGGCCTGTAGTTGGACGGGGCTAAGCGGTCGCCTTTTTTAGAGATCGGGTGGACCAATGCTGTTTTCCATGAATTTGGGACTACGCCTTGGGAGTAGGAGTACCGGAAAAGACGTCCTAAAACCAGTGCCAACTCCGAAGTACACGTCTTCAACATAATAAAAGAGACTCCATCAGGCTTACTCGACTTGTTAACGTCTAGGGAGAGGAGTGATTTGCGAACCGTGCGCTGTGTAAACCGCACCACCGGCATGGAGACGGGGGGAACACACCGCCAAATGTTCCGCGATGTGTTCCCCCCGTCATTGAGAGTCGAGTTGAACGCAAAGAGAGAGAGCTTAAGAGATCAGTTTTCTCTTTTGTGGCATGAGCCAGTGGGTCCTCCCCGTCGTTCTCGAAAGAAGGCGAACTAGCTTCTCGCCAATTCTGCCGATGTGTTCTGACCTCGTCTTGGCCATCACTCTTTGGAAGGCGATGGAGGTGGAATTATACTTATTTTTAAGAGTGCTGCTGTTTACATTACAAGACCTTGATGCGTCAGTCAATTCCCGATAGCATTCCTACTTATAGCGTGATTCTATTTTACAAGAGTTACCAAACCATGGCTGGGATCTGTCTCCGATGGGCACCACAGAAGATGGAATAAAAAGTTCCATACACTGAAGTATCACATTAGCGACAGAATCAGCATCAACGCTATGATCATCCGGCGAGAAGCAAACCTGCTCTTAATAGTAGGATGCAAAAAAACCGCATCCTATCCAAATCGGCTGACCTATAGTGCCAAACACGGCGGCAGCTTGCAGAATGCAACCGCGACGTTAGCGTGAGTGGCAACACACTCCGGCCTAGACAAGAGTCTGCGGAGGTATGACCGGCGTCGACGGATACCTGATATCGTCCGGGTGAGAGTCCAGCAGAAGTTCTAACAGGGAAGGTGCATGACCCTCCACATCTGGAATCCGCGTAAGTAACCACATGTGTAAGACCATATGCCAAGGCAAAGTCGTAAATAGATATCTTATCGGCTTAACGTGAACCCGAGCCATTCGGTGTGGTAGGAAAAAAATCGCCAAGGATCACGATCTCTGAGGATGGGACCTGCTGTAGCAATATATCTGTAGCCATTTGGACATGGTCGATGAGTGTTTCGGCATTAAGCTATGGGATCTATAGAGGCACCCGTAGATGCGTGGATGGTCGACGCTGTTTACGCGTAGCCAAAGAATGGACAAGTCCGATCCTTCAAAACTGCCGATGCATCGAAAACAGATGTTTTCTCTGACGTATACGTAAACTCCAGCCCTGGGCACATAGGAGTGTTCCAATTTATATCCCGGGTAGGAGAGATACGAAGTATCAGCCGGAGAGTACACCTGCGTCTCGGTCAGAAAAAGCAAGGCCGGTTTGATGTTGCAGAAATTCACGGATAGCGTGGTAGGGGTAGCCTGGGCCTTGTTGCTCAGTTTGCCCCGAACAGTTTTTGTGTTAAGCGGAATATTGCCCCCCCCCCCTCGCTTGTTTTGCCTACCGAGATACATATTTTTATATAAGAGGGGCAAACGAGCATGCGGCGCATCAGATAGTAAATGACCACTGTCACTGATGAACAACTGTAACACCAGGGGAGTGGCCGGGCGGCCTTTTAAAAAGGAGTAGGCTGTTTTCTTGAAGGTCTCTAAGTCTTATCGGTCAGGAAAAATCACTGGTGGTAACCGATTCCACAAGGAAGTTGTGCGAAGAGGAAAACCTAAAACTTCACATTGGGTCACAGTATCATACAAATATGATTTTGTTTGTAAAGTTATAAACTTACTTGTCTTGCTTGAGAGTTCTGCGATTCAGACTCGCTTTCACTGGTAAGTTTCTTTTTCTTGCCATCAAGCCGGTTGCCTTCACCGCTAAAAGCTATAAAGCCACTGGGCTCTGGCATCATGACAGCTGGATCTTCGTCCATGCTTGGTCCCGCGTTGCCATCGGCGCTTCTTGGAATGCGTTCTTCTTCTTTATAACCAACAGGAGGAGCAAACTCAACCTGTAGAAATAAATTTGGCCATTTATTTCTTTAAATCCAATGCAATCTTGTAATTTTAAAGAGGGTGTCAGTCAACAGTGGATCCTTGTAGTATAAAGCCGCGTATCGATTACGCGCACCAGGCGCGCGCATCTTGAATGTCCGCACCGATCAGTGCGTTCCGCGGAACGCGTTGCGAATGTTCTTAGTTCAAATTTGATATACTTGGAACATTTGGAACGCGTTCCGCGGAACGCACTGGTCGGCGCGGTCATTCATGCAATTGATACGCGGTTTTATTGTGGCCAGCGCGTGCATCAAACCTAAAAGGTCGGGTCCCATACTGAACACGCGGATTAAGGTACCATTAGCAATGTAAGTCATACACTTTAGCAAATAATCATGATAAAGAATGGTTACAATTTTTTTTCTACTTGTTTTTCTTTTTAAAAACCTTTCAGTTACCTTTAGATTAGAATTTTTCTCCAGTATGGTGAGGGTAGTTTACATACATAAATTTCACGAGGACAAACACTCAGACTCGAAACAATTATATGTAGGCCATACATTCGAATCCGCGATCCTTAGCGCTATAACTCATTGCTTCGCCATGGAGCCGTAAAAATTTCAAATCCGATTGCAAGTCACTTGACATCACTAGTACTAGCCTTGCTAATTAATGATTTTAACATAACACTTTACTATACTTACATTCATATCACATTCAATAATGATCACAGCATTTCCCGGTTTGGTTTCTAGAACGCATAATTCATAGACTTTTGAGTTATACTTAATGGCGATCACGTCGCCTGTTGTCAAGCAAGAGAAATTTCTGAGGCAGTTTTCAAGTACTGAAAATAAAAAGGCGCAATTATTTTTTCTATTTACACCATAAAACTTAAGTATGTAACTTACACATTTGATTTTTTAAGGCGAGTTTAAAAAAAAACTACTGCAGCCCATGAATACCTAAAACCAAATTTAACCCATTCGCTGTCCCGTCCACTACATGTAGTTCATTGCTATTGTCTTAAAATGGGCCAGTGAAAGTGTTAGGTAAAGTTTACGAATGCCCCTGTAAATCCCTGTAATTATACTGGCTATTTACACCCCTCAGACCGGAAGTGTGTGCACTGCTACATTCTTCTACTTTATTTGCTGCTATGTGCCGGCTTCGAGCAAGCCGAAATACTAAGTTCACAGCTGGACTGGTCATTCCAAAAATGCATCAGCTGGTTGCATACATTAGGTAGTTGGACACCACACTGTTACACAAGTTTGTAAAAATTTAGGTTAAGTGCATCTGGATTCTATGGTTCAGAGCCCTATTTTATCAGAAAAGTGTATGTGGTGTGAAGGTCGGTGTGGTATTTCGGGAACAATTTAACGAATTCCCTAACATGTCTATAAATTTATTTATTACAAGATAAATTAATTATAAAGGTACATGATTGGCTGACAATCACTTTTTATTACATATTTAAGTTGTTATCAGTAAGAGGCTGAAGTCCATCTCTTTTTTAATTTCCCTCTGTCGCCTCTTACACATAATATGAAATGATATGGGGTAGTGAATCCTCTTAAATTGTGTTGCCAATATACAGTTATGTTAAGTGAAAATACCTCCTATAATGCTCCTACAATATTTAAAGTAGGTCAAAGGACAATTGCTTCTAACTTTAATGCTTACCTGCTTTGGGGTTAGTGATATCCAAGAAATCTTCAGAGAGTGGCTGGAATTTTGAAAATGTTGCTACTGGCAGGGAGACACTTTCGATTTGTAATAATGCACCTTCTTCAAGTACTAAATTTGCCATCATCTAGTGAAAAATACAATAATAATTAAAAAATAAAGTAATTTAACATAATATAATGATATATTTTTAATATTACTACCCTCCAGTAAAAGAAATGTACACTCTTTTAATACATTTAAAACTCTGTTATTGAATGGGTATATCTAGTTAATATTGTTCTCAGGTGAGTACACATAACATATGTCTTTATTGAGAATAACGTTTCTTTAAAGCTAAGTAACTATTGAATCATTTATTATGGTATAATAGCCATAAAAATAACTTACTTATCTTCACGCACAATCCCTGACGGGGTAGCCAGAGAGAACAGATCGCCAAGTGTCACGATCCTTACATATCTCTTTCGCTTCTTTCAGATTCATTATCTTCTTCATACATGCACGTCTAGGTACCCGAGTACTCTTGACCCTACCCTCTTCGAGCAATTTGCTCACATGGTCTTCGAAAGTTAGTCTCGGTCTACCTCGACACCTTTTAATATTAACTTTCGCGCTATATATTTTCTTCACCATTCGGTCTTCACTCATTCGCTCAACGTGCCCAAACCACCGAAGCACGCCCTTATCAATTTTTGTGATAAGGTCATCTTTCAAACCTGCCATATTGCGAATCTCTTCGTTTCGCTTTCGGTCGGCCATAGTAACGCCGCACATTTTACGAAGAGATCGCATCTCCACTGCATTCAACTTACTTTTATGCTTCTTCTGGCATACCCAGGTTTCGCTGCCATATAACAAAGTCGGTACCAGCACTGCGTTATGTATTGCAAGGCGTGCACTCTTCGCTACGCCTTGCGTTTGACTAACGCAGTCAGGGCACCATTGACTTTGTTCCCGGCAGCGACACGCCTGTCCACATCTAAATCACATCTTCCATCCCGGCTAAAAGCACTCCCCAAGTATACAATTTCATTTACCTGTCCTAGACATTCCTGATTTACTTTGATTGATAAAAATAACAAATGGATAATAACTCCTGCTATTCTGAAGTTTACTAAAAATAAAATAATTAATATATCCATATTGCTTATTTTATTATATAAATAATGATCAGTTTTATTATATTTAAACCTATCCATTATTCCAACTCTCATCACAACTATTCAAAACGTCTGAAAGCAAGAAACAAAGAGACTAAGTACTGTGTACACTATTAGTGAAGCCCGAAACCAAGTCAAAACCATGCTCAACTTATTGTAAGAATACTCATTTACGCACGCTTTTGCAACTTTCTTTGACGGTTTCAGAACACTGGAAATATTGTTACGAGCTTGGGGTTCGAGACAATTAAAAACTGCCGATTGAATTACCAAAATTGACAGTTTAATTACACAACACTAATTACAATCTAAAATCACACTAATAATAAAACACAGTTCGCCGTTATTTCGCTTCGAAGTATTCTCTTGTATCGCCAATTCAATACTGCCTCGGTCGTGGTCTATACCGGCTTTATATAGGGCCTCAGATAGTTTCCAGAATCTTCTACTGTAGCGACATCTAGAATGTTCGAGTACATATCGGTCCCGAAATTTCTGGAAGCTGGCGCTAGTGTAACTAGTGTTTCCATGTACAAGACATTAATAGTGGCGCGCAACACTTTCTTTTACTTGACACTAGAGGGCGCTAGTGTAACTAGTGTTGCCATGTACAAGACATTAATAGTGGCGCGCAACACTGCCCCCTCCTAAGACATTTTTTTTATAGGAGAGGGGGCAAACGAGCATGCGGCTCACCTGATGGTAAGTGACTACCGCCGCCCATGAACAACCGCAACACCAGGGGAATTGCAGATGCGTTGCCGGCCTTTAGACATGCTCGTCCCAAGCATTATTGGCCCCATAATAACGCGCCAGTCGATCCACATGGACAATCTTAGGAGTACCTCTGGCACCTTTCTGTATCCGGTAGGTTACGTCATTGATCCTTGTCACAATCCGGTACGGTCCGTCCCATTTAGCTTGAAGCTTAGGAGATTTCCCTTTGCTGCGAACTGGATTGTGTAACCACACTAGTGAACCTTCATCAAACCCCTTGTTGTTCATTTTGCGGTCATACCGTGTTTTCATCTTCTCAGACGTATGCTGGCCCGTTTGTCTGACGTGCTCATAAATGTCATTCATTTTGTTCCGCAAGTCATTTGCATAATCGGTTATACTGCGTGGGGCATCAGGTGGTATTCCGGTGATCAGGTCTGCAGGCAGCCGCAATTCTCTCCCAAAGTTTGCGAAAGCTGGTGTCACTGATGTACTTTCGTGAACAGCGCTTCGATATGACAACAAAAACGGTTGTATGTGCCTGTCCCAGTCTCGTTGGCGTTTTTCCACAACTTTTGCCAGGTACCTTTCCAATGTCTGATTAAATCGTTCTACCATTCCATCAGATTGTGGGTGGTAAGAAGTTGTTCGTGTTTTATGAGTACCCATAACTCTGCAAGTTTCCTGGAATATTTGAAACTCGAAATTCCTTCCTTGATCGCTGTGAATCTCTAAAGGTACTCCAAAACGACAGAAGACTTCATGAACTAGTTTATCTGCAACTGTTGAAGCTTCTTGATTTGGAATGGCGAAGACTTCTGGCCACTTAGTGAAGTAATCCATCACAACCATGAAATACTTGTTACTACTTTCAGTTTCTGGAAACGGCCCCGCAACGTCAATGGCTATCCTCTCCCATGGTGCACCAACATTGTACAATTTCAATGCGCCTCTACTACGAATTTGAGGTCCCTTTACAGCCGCACAACTTGTACATTTGCGGCACCAGTCCTCGACATCATCACGACAGTGGATCCAGTAAAACCGTTCTCCGATCTTCAGGAGAGTTCGTTTAACTCCCAGGTGGCCTCCTGAACAACCACTATGGTACAGCTGTAGAACATCCGGCACTTTAGCCTTAGGGACAACCATTTGCAAATGACACCTGTGTCCCCGACCATTTTCCCATTTACGGCACAGGTCTCCATCCTGAATCAGCAAGCTGTCCCATTGGGCCCAATAGCTTTTCGTGGTCGAACTCATTGCTAAGACGTCGCTCCACTTGGGCTTAGGAGCACTGGCCTTCATCCATTCCAGAATCGGCTTAATGTCCGAATCTTCCTGCTGTGCATGTTGTAGGCTGTCCTTCCAATCATTGTTGGTCTGTCCTGAGCATCCTCACAGATACCACTTCCTTACCCTCTTGCCTAGTACAATGCTTGCAATCTTCAGGGCAAGGTCTTCTTGACAATGCATCTGCATTGCCATGAGATTTCCCGCTGCGATGTTCGATCACAAAGTCGTATTCCTGTAGTAGTTCAATCCATCTCGCAACTTGTCCTTCCCGATTTTTGAACTGCAATAGCGATTTCAGTGCAGCATGGTCAGTTCGTAAGTAGAATTTCCGCCCCAGGAGATATTTGCTAAAATGCTGCAAGGACTTTACCACAGCAACAATTCCCGTTTTGTGACACAATAGTTCCTTTCCGGCTTTGACAATGACTTGCTGAAGTACGCTATCACAATCTCTTGATCACCATTCCGTTGAGACAACACACCGCCAAGTCCTATATCACTTGCGTCTGTGTCAACTATGAATTCCTTGCCCGCATCAGGGTACACCAAAATAGGTGTTTTGCACAGACGGTTCTTGAGCTCCTGGAATGCAATATCGCAACTTTCATCCCAGCAGAAAAGTCGCTTCTCCTCGGTTAGCTTGTGCAGAAGTTTGGCTATATCTGCAAAGTTCTTCACAAATCGCCGATAATAAGAGTACAAACCCAAAAATGCTCTAACCTGTGTCTTGTCTTTTGGAACCGGCCACTCCTTGACAGCGGCAATTTTTTCTGGATCCGTGCGGATACCTTCTTCCGACACTACATACCCCAAAAAACTAACTTGCCGTTTGAATAGTGAGCACTTCTTTGGACACAACTTGAGGTTGGCACTCTGGATCTTCATGAGCACGCGTTCCAGGTTTTGAAGGTGTTCTTCAAACGTACGGCCTACGATGATGATGTCATCCAAATAGACCAGACAAGCATCTCCAATTAGCCCGGTAAGTACAAGCTCCATCAATCTTTCAAACGTTGCTGGAGCATTGCACAATCCAAACGGCATGACTTTAAATTGCCACAGACCCTTTCCTGTGGAGAATGCAGTTTTCTCCTTGTCCTTAGGGTCAATTTCAACCTGCCAGTAGCCACTTGTCAGGTCCAGCGTACTAAACCACTTTACGCCTGTAAGCATGTCCAGCGTGTCATCAATTCTTGGTAAGGGATAGCTGTCCTTCTTCGGAACGTCGTTCAGGCGGCGGTAGTCAACACAAAACCGCATGCTGCCGTCCTTCTTCTTTACCAGCACCACAGGTGAACACCATGGACTAGATTAAAGTTCAATAACACCATCCTTCACCATTCCCTCAAATATGGTTTCCACTTCCTTTTCACGTGCTACAGGCAATCTTCTTGGCCGCTGACGAATACGCAATTCTTGTCCTGTGTTTATTTTGTGTTGAACTAAGCCAGTCTTTCCTATGTCAGCTTCGTTTGACGGGAAAACATTGGCATACTTGAGTAACAACTTCTTCGCTTTGACCGTTTCATTCGGGGAGAGAACGCTGCGACAGTCTTCTAAAAGTGTGGTCACTCTAGTTTGTCCATCCTTGCTGGGTGTCCCAGTCGATAGATATTGGCACTGACGCAACCAATCCACTTCCTCACTAGTACCAACCAATGTGCCTTTTTCTATAATCTGTTCCTGATCACAAAGATTCAGCACACGTACTCCTGAGATGTCAGCGGTTCTGACCAAGGTTCGAGCCACTTTCCATGGAAGGTCATTGTCTACCCTTTCCACGAGTACACAACGAAGAGTTTGCCCAGGATTCCGTGGAAGTCTAACCGGCACAATCGTTTCCGATCTCGGCGGAAGAACAATCTTCTTAAGGCTGTACACATTCCCTGGTAACGCCCCTTCCACGAAAAGTTCCTCTTGTCCACATTTCAAAACACCTTGCTTAACGTCGATCTCACAACAATTCTTCCTTAGAAAGTCTAGGCCCAGGATGCAGTCGTCCATTATATCAGCCACGATGACATTATGCAGGTAGATCATGTTGCCTAGCTTCAACTCCATCTCCTTCTCTCCTCGGACGGGTATGCGCTGACCGGTGGCTGTCACCAAATTAATGCGTTCTCGGTTGTATGCGGAGTCCCCAAGGAACCGTCTTATAAGTTGGGAACTGACAACCGTGCGAGAGGCTCCAGTATCTATGGTCAGTTTACACGGCGTTCCGTTGACTTCGCCCTTGATGATTAGGCTGTTCCCATCATGGGTTTGTGAGATCGAAATCCTTGGGGCTCTTTTAACATCAGCCAGCACCCGCCCCGCAGTCCTGACTTTTACTCGCTTCCCTGCTGCTGCTGGGCGGTGCTATTATCCGCACTACCCTCTCGAGATCGATCACTTTTCCTCTCTACAGTTCGCTTAGGGCAGCTGGATCGAAGATGGCCCCTTTCCCTACAGCCGGAGCACCTAGGACTGTAGCCCTTATTGCGGTCCTGAACTATAGCTGCTGCAATCTCCCTGACGCGGTGGGAACGATGATCCTGCCGCACGGCTTCCACCTCCAGTGCATGGGTCAAGGCGTCCTTAAGCGTCTCGTGGTGTCCGAGCCTTACAGCAGCTCTGACTTCAAGGTCGCGGATGCCGTCGATGAATGTCTGCACCAGGTTCCCTACAATGAGCGCAGGTACAGACTGGTACGCTTTTCGAACCAGCTTCTCCACCTCAAGGGCCCACTGCTGCAGGTTTTCGTTGCTGCGTTGCACGCGATCTTTGAGCTGCACACGAAAGACGTGTTCCAGGTGAGCATCGCCATATCTCGCGTCCAATGCCTCAAGGAGCTGCTCGTAAGTCACTTCCTTACCGAGAGCTTTCAGAACAGTTAAGGCCTGGTCGCGTAGGCCTAGAGTGAGAGCAGTCATGGCCTGACTTTTATTCCAGCCGTTCGCTTTCATGACAGCCTCGAACTGGATTTTGTAGGCTGACGTCTGACTCTTTGAAGTCCCGTCGAACGGCGGCACTTTGAATCCACGTAGCGAAGGTGTTGTAGCTACCACGAGAGCAGTAACTCCATCCCCAAGTTTGAGGTTGTCCAGCGTTTTCTTCATGTCAGCCATCACGTTGTTAACCCGATTGTACACTTGGTCGATTCGGGTTTCAGCTTCCGACAGGCGGTTGTCATATCGAGCAACCTTATCCTTCACCTCCCTTATCTCTTTCCCAAAGGTAGCGTGAAGGTCCTTCATGGGAAGTATCCTTTATCACGTTTGAGCTGCTCTTCCAACTGACGGCCCTGTTCCTCCTGTTGGCGGGTCTGTTCCTCCTGTCCACGCTGCAGCTGCTCTTCCAACCGACGAGCCTGTTCCTCCTATTGGCGGGCTTGCTCCTGTAGCATCATCATCAGAGCACCTAAGTCAGGTGCTGCAGATGCAGGAGCTGCTGAAGGGCCGGCCTCCGTGGTCGGCAGCTGGCCCTCCGACGTTTGCGGCGATGCATTACCAAATCGTCTCTGGTCCGTCTCCAGCTGGCGTTGACTTCGGGTACGGATACCCTCCATGTCGTCCTTTGGTAAAATCGGCATGATTTGATCCCACTTCTGACACCAATTGTTACGAGCTTGGGGTTCGAGACAATTAAAAACTGCCGATTGAATTACCAAAATTGACACTTTAATTACACAACACTAATTACAATCTAAAATCACACTAATAATAAAACACAGTTCGCCGTTATTTCGCTTCGAAGTATTCTCTTGTATCGCCAATTCAATACTGCCTCGGTCGTGGTCTATACCGGCCTTATATAGGGCCTCAGATAGTTTCCAGAATCTTCTACTGTAGCGACATCTAGAATGTTCGAGTACATATCGGTCCCGAAATTTCTGGAAGGATCTTGACTCTCCTAGTTCTGCTACTCGACACTAGAGGGCGCTAGTGTAACTAGTGTTGCCATGTACAAGACATTAATAGTGGTGCGCAACACTTTCTTTTACTTGACACTAGAGGGCGCTAATGTAACTAGTGTTGCCATGTACAAGACATTAATAGTGGCGCGCAACAATATGTTGCTATTTCTCCTAGAATCGTGAGAGAGTGCGGACTTTGTCTGTTTAGCTGACCCACACTGCAGTTTAAATGGGTCAGTTCAATTTTTCTATCAATTGTAGATTTAAAACATACAATTTCATTATGCAATCTACGTTCTATGTAAATAAAGATACGTAGGTCACTCAATAAGTTATGAGATGCTCGAAATTTAAAAATGAAACGCACCCGTGTTATATGTTTCTAAAAAGCAAATATATTTAAAAATAGAACTCCACAAGCCAATTGCTCAGTATTAAAAAAAAAACAAAGTTCTATTAATTTTCCTGCAACGCTTTTATTATTTAATACGATGAATCTTAACCGTGAACATTTGCGCGCTATGATATATTATGATTTTAAATTAGGTTTAACCGAACAATTAAGTTTACAACGGCTACAATCAGCATTAGGGGACTCAGCTCCATCACGTGCAACAATTTTTAGGTGGTTTGCAGAAAAGGGGTAAAATTAATCTTAAAGATGACCAAAGAACCAGGCCCCGCAAACAGCAGTAACTGCAGAAAATATATTCATTCATTCATTCATTACAGCCCTTCACAAGTCCACTGCTGAACATAGGCCTCCCCCAAAGAATGCCACAAAGCACGGTCCTGAGCCACCTGCATCCATCGACTTCCTGCACATCTTACCAGGTCGTCACTCCATCTAGTGGGGGGACGCCCTACACTTCGCCTGCCGGTACGAGGCTGCCACTCGAGAACCTTTCTTCCCCATCGGTTGTCGGTTCTTCGACCTATATGGCCGGCCCATTGCCACTTCAGCTTACTAATCCGTTGGGCTATGTCGGTCACTCTGGTTCTACTGCGGATATCCTCATTTCTGAGTTTATCACGCAGAGAAACTCCGAGCATAGCCCTCTCCATAGCTCGCTGAGCGACCTTGAGCTTCCTCATCCGGCCAGCAGTGAAGGACCACGTCTCAGTTCCGTATGTCATCACTGGCAACACGCACTGGGTGTACAGTCTCGTTTTCAAGTTTTGAGGTATACCTGACGAGAAGATGTGCCGTAATTTCCCGAACGCTGCCCAACCGAGTTGAATCCGTCGATTGACCTCTCGGTCGAAGTTGGACTTACCTAGTCGGACTATTTGTCCCAGGTAAACATACTCGTCAACAACTTCGAGCTTAGTGTTCCCAACAACTACCGGCATAGGTGTGACATGGACATTAAACATGATCTTTGTTTTGTCCATGTTCATCTTAAGACCTATCCGTTGGGAAACACTATTGAGGTCATTGAGCATAGTGCTTAGGTCCTCCAGCGATTCTGCCATAAGGACTATATCGTCGGCAAATCGAAGGTGAGTGATGTACTCGCCATTGATGTAGATACCGTATCCTTTCCAGTCCAGAAGCTTGAAAACGTCTTCCAACGCAGCGGTGAAGAGTTTCGGGGATATGACGTCACCCTGTCTTACACCTCTCTGCAATTGGATAGGTTTCGTACTCTGGTTCTGTACTCGGATAGCCATCGTAGCCCTACTGTACAAGCACTTCAACACTTCGATATACCGACAGTCAACTTGGCGTCGCTGAAGGGACTGCAGCACCGCCCAAATTTCGACGGAATCAAAGGCTTTCTCATAGTCCACATACGCCAGACATAGTTGCAAATTGTACTCCTCGGACTTCTGTACAATTTGCCGAAGGGTATGTATGTGGTCTATGGTGCTAAAGCCTTTTCGGAAACCGGCTTGTTCGGGAGGCTGGAAGTCGTCAAGTCTGCGCGCGAGACGATTCGTAATGACTCTCGAAAACAGCACGTAGACGCGGCTCAGAAGGGAAATCGGTCTGTAGTTCTTCAAGAGAGCGTTGTCGCCTTTCTTGAAGAACAAGACCACCGCACTTCTGCTCCACGCCTCCGGTGTAATGCCACCATGGAGGACGGAATTAAAGAGCTTCTGAAGGACTTCAAGTACCGGTTTTCCACCCGCTTTCAGAAGCTCCGCTGTAATTCCATCCTGGCCTGGGGCCTTGCCGTTTTTAAGGTGCTGGAGAGCCATTCTAATCTCGCTCAGACTGACGTCCGGGATATCATCGGAATAATGTCGGATAAGACTCGCTCTTGGATCGTTACTCACACTTGCGTGTGGCTCCAACGATGACGTGTACAGCTGCCCATAGAACCTCTCAATCTCACTCAAAATCTCAGGTGCCCCGGAAACGATGCTGCCACATTCGGTCTTCAGCTTTGACAGTTGGCTCTTTCTGGCAGACAGATCTCTGGCAAAGACTTTGGAGCCTTGGTTCCGCTCGATCGCTTCTTCAATACGAGCTGTATTAAAGTTGCGTAAGTCCCGCCGCATGCATTTGGAGATCTGTCTGTTCAGTTGCCTGTATGCTGTCAAATCTGTTGAAGAATGTAGCTTCATCTCCCGTCTAACAGCCATGAGATTAAGAGTGTGATCGGAGAGTTTTTGTGTTCTTCTGCGGCGGGTCTTGCAGAACTTAGCTCCGACCGCATGGACAGTTTCCACGAGCTTGTCATTCAAATCGTCCACTTCATTGCAGTCTTCTAGGCACTGAAAACGGTTTTGCAACTCGAGCTGAAAGGTTTCGGGACTTTGGATTAGAGCACGAGGGGGACGGAGCGTTGACTTCATTAGACGAGACCTCTCCAACTTAACGTTTAGGTTCAGTGTGCCTCTAACCATTCGGTGATCGCTGCCGGTTTTCACCCTCGCGATCACTGAGACATCACTGAACAGTTGTCGTCTGGTCGTCATAATGAAGTCAATCTCATTTTTTGTCGAACCGTCGGGGCTCGACCAGGTCCACTTCCTGTGGGGCCGCTTCTGGAAGAAAGAGTTCATCATAAAGAGTCCCTCTTTCTCCATGAAGTCGGCCAACTGCTGGCCCCTTGGGTTCCGTTGCCCTATTCCAAATTTCCCCACTTTCAGCTCACCGTTCTCTTTTGTGCCTAGTTTTGCATTGAAGTCTCCCATTAACACCGTATATTGGGTTTTGGAGGAATGCATGGCTCTAGAGATATCCTCATACATTTCCTCCACCTCCTGATCGGGGTGTGCCGAGGTTGGTGCGTAAACCTGTATGACCTTCAGCGAATACCGTTTGGTGATTCTGAGTATAAGGTACGCAACCCTCGTCGACACACTCTCAATCTTTACAACGTTGTTAACGAGAGACTTGTGGACGATAAATCCGACACCTCCTTGGGACAGATGGTCGCCCTCCCGGTAATAGAGCAAGTTGCCGGATTCGAGGATTACCGTGTCCTCCCCCTCTCTTCGGACTTCGGATAATCCTATAATATGCCAGCGTAACTTGTCTATCTCTTCTTCCAGCTCCACAATCTTCTCGTCAGTCCTCAGGGTGCGTGCGTTGTATGTTGCCAGGTCGAGTCGTTGTAGGTGGCAACCGAACCTCCACCGGAGATTCTTAGCACCCCCTGCCCCGCCGTTACCATGGTCGCCACCGTAGCCAGGAATAGCGGGGCCGCCGGGGACTGGGGGCCGTCTCTTCGTAACTTTCATTATGGGGGGTATATTGCCATAGTTGCCACGCTTGGCGAGCGGGTTGGCAACCGCAGTTTTTTATTGTATTTGCCGTTACCAGGAAGATGCTGCTGCCCATCTCCTGCCTGTTTCCCTTTGTCGCCTTTTACGACACCCACGGGAAGATATGGGGTAGTGGATATTCTTAACCGCCACTACACGGCAGAAAATATATGGACTACTGAAATGTTGGTGCGAGAAGACCTACGAATCACATATACGGACATCAAAAAGATTATAGGTATTAGTTCGGGGAGCATTAGCACATGAGTAAAGAAACCGACCAGAGGGGAAGCCACATAAAAACGCCTCGCTTCGGGTACACCCACACATAGCGCAGCGATGTGTGCGTGAGATCTCACCGACAGGTTCACCGACGCTCCGTCAGGGTACAAACCGGTTTGCGCCGGCTCAGTCAGAGTGTGAATAAAAGGGCTGTTGGTCACGCGCATTGAAATAAATAGACGAATAATATTTCGTGATTTTATAGATCAATAAATCTATTAATTTTTTTTTACAATTAGAGTTAAGTTTAGAGATTGTGTACTATAAAATAAGACATTATAGATTTATAAGTATATATTTATATTAGATAATTAGTGTTCGTATAAGCTAAATGCCTAAGTTGTACAGTATATATGAAAAATTCGAGAGAAAATAATACAATAGCCAGACAGTGGTGCAGTTAGTGTTAGTGGTAGCAGTGCTGGTAATGGTGATGATGGACGGTGGTGCTGATCATGCGGTGTTGGTAGCGATGGATGGTGGTGCTGTACGTGCAGGTAATGGTGTCGGTAATTGTGGTGGTGCTGGTAGTATCATTGGTGGTGGTGGACAGTGGCACTACCACCACGACCAGCATCACCACCACAGCCCCTACTACCGCCACCATCATCCTGGTAGTAACATTGGTGGTGGTGGTGTATCAACACCACCACTGCCCACTACCATCATCAGAGTCATTACTAATACCATCTGATTTTTTGTACTCATGAATACGTTGTCTTACGAAAATGATATTGATAGAAATATAGATATGTAATGTGAAGCTAAGCATGAAAATAAGCAAAATATACAATTTTTGCAGTTTCAATTTTAATTACAAATAACTGACATGTTATTATATTAACTTAAGTTACAATGAATACACATGTTATTTTATACACTAACATAATAACACATTTTTATTTTTTCCTTCAAATTTTCACTTGCATCAGGTGATAACCCTATCAGAATAGGTATAGATTTTC